AATTTTCTCCATTAAAGAAAATATTCTATCTCAGGTAGTGCAATGGGGATGTCCTTATTACTCTGTAATAAAATTAACGCAAGATTTGAACTAAATAAAAAAAGACAGTTTTTTCTTTAAATTGTTATTATTTTATTTAATTGTAGAGAAAACAGGATAGGATTATGTATGGATTAACAGATAGATACAGGAAATGACTCCTACAGTTACAAAAATTAAAAATTTTCATTACCTCTAATTTTTTCTAAATCGAACGTAACTGGTTGTATTTATGTAATTTTGTTTATGGGTGTTTGATTGTAATTTAACTATACTATTATAATTTTGATGGTATCATAATAATGTATTTACAATTCAACAATAATATAAGAAAATTATTTAATCAAAATTCTCACAGTCTACGTTCTAAAAAAGGTAAAGGATGTTGCAGGTTTCAAAATTAAGAAATTAATGGTCTGTTGTAAAAATTTATATGCGGATATAATTCAATTTTTGGGTTTTTTGTGAGTGCCTATGTTTTGAAAAGCAAGTTCAATGATCGTCAAAGAAATGTTGGTATCGTGAAATCAACTTATTAGAATTCATTTAAACAAATTATATTTGATAAATAATGTGCTTCATGACTGAAAGAATTACAGCATAATGTATGCGAGTATCATTTCACAGTTTTTCAAGCTGAATTATGCTTAATCGATGCTATAAACAAACGCCCACGAATTTTAAAAGATGACCATAAACTAATAGAAGGTATTTATAACATGAAATAAAATTTAATTATTTTTATACAGAGCCATGCGCTTCGCCAATAAATCTATCATCATTGATCATACGTAGTTAGCATAATCAACAAAAAATTTTTTTTATTCGCATAAATACTTAGTATCTATTAATTAAAACTCAAGAATCATATTAACTTGACTGATATGGACAAAGTCAAAGTTTTAGTTGTAATAATTGCTATGCATTTTACTCTCAAACGTTCATTATTTTTTTTAATTGAATAATACACTTTGTGTTGTATATTAATTATTAATTCTTGAAAATGTTTTGACCTAACCGAGGTCGAAAGAAAAGTAATTAATTACAATTGAAAAGTTAGTGGTCTTTTAATTTGATTGATATCATCAGATTAAATTACAAATCAAACGGGAGAATTGTATGATAACGCATAAGATCGCCGAGAATGTCGGATTCGCCTTGAAGTGTATGAATCAAATAACATGTTTAATTCCCTTCACGACTAGAAGATAAAGGCTATGCAATTCCACTTACTTTTTTTTATCGTCATCATAAAGTCGTCAGTCCTAAGACTGGTTAAACTAGAACAATCCATATCCTTAACTATCTGCGAACAGTAATCTAATTAAGGTCTACCTCTACCCCTCCTAACTTCCGTTTCTGCCTCTAATACGTCTCTGACTAGACCTTCATGTCTGAGAAGGTGTCCTATTAACCTATCTCGCCTATTTCTTACTTACTTCCATGGAGTCCTCTGTTCTCCTACTCTTTCTAATACCTCTTCATTTCATACCTTCTCTATCCACGGTATCCTCATTATTCGCCTGTAACACCATATTTTTGGAACACTTCTAACCTTTTCTTTTCCGCCGCGCCACTGTCCATGTTTCGCTTAGTGTGCAACCCTCCTTAAAAGTTTCAAAACTTGCAAATGAAGCGACACAATTTTTAAACTAAAAATCACTACGCCTTTCAAAATTATTTCGTACAGCTTTTATCGTTCGAATTACCCTTTACACTGAGGGACTATAGTCTGAACTTTTTGTTTGCCTTTTTTTGTTTTTGAATCCGTTTACGCTAGGCCCACCTTAATTAATCTTTCTCAATTGTCCTTGAACTTCAACTTACTAATTGAATTTCAGTGCCAGCGGATACAACATGGCTCAACATTTCATCAAAAGATTAGCTTCAAATGTTACTTGGTAATTAGTATTTAATATAAATATCAAATAGAAAGCTACGATGATTGATACAGATAAAAATTACGCAGTGATATTTAATATTAAACAGAGTAGGTACCTTATGTAATCGCATCTTGTTTGTCCTTAATCCGTTTAACCAAAAGATCATCAGGAACATGTCATTATTGCTACATGGTAAAATGTTTTTTGTTACGGAATCAATAACATTTGCTTGTCGATGTACATTAACAAAACAAAAACTGGCATTACTTAGGCATCAGANAATTGTATGATAACGCATAAGATCGCCGAGAATGTCGGATTCGCCTTGAAGTGTATGAATCAAATAACATGTTTAATTCCCTTCACGACTAGAAGATAAAGGCTATGCAATTCCACTTACTTTTTTTTATCGTCATCATAAAGTCGTCAGTCCTAAGACTGGTTAAACTAGAACAATCCATATCCTTAACTATCTGCGAACAGTAATCTAATTAAGGTCTACCTCTACCCCTCCTAACTTCCGTTTCTGCCTCTAATACGTCTCTGACTAGACCTTCATGTCTGAGAAGGTGTCCTATTAACCTATCTCGCCTATTTCTTACTTACTTCCATGGAGTCCTCTGTTCTCCTACTCTTTCTAATACCTCTTCATTTCATACCTTCTCTATCCACGGTATCCTCATTATTCGCCTGTAACACCATATTTTTGGAACACTTCTAACCTTTTCTTTTCCGCCGCGCCACTGTCCATGTTTCGCTTAGTGTGCAACCCTCCTTAAAAGTTTCAAAACTTGCAAATGAAGCGACACAATTTTTAAACTAAAAATCACTACGCCTTTCAAAATTATTTCGTACAGCTTTTATCGTTCGAATTACCCTTTACACTGAGGGACTATAGTCTGAACTTTTTGTTTGCCTTTTTTTGTTTTTGAATCCGTTTACGCTAGGCCCACCTTAATTAATCTTTCTCAATTGTCCTTGAACTTCAACTTACTAATTGAATTTCAGTGCCAGCGGATACAACATGGCTCAACATTTCATCAAAAGATTAGCTTCAAATGTTACTTGGTAATTAGTATTTAATATAAATATCAAATAGAAAGCTACGATGATTGATACAGATAAAAATTACGCAGTGATATTTAATATTAAACAGAGTAGGTACCTTATGTAATCGCATCTTGTTTGTCCTTAATCCGTTTAACCAAAAGATCATCAGGAACATGTCATTATTGCTACATGGTAAAATGTTTTTTGTTACGGAATCAATATCATTTACTTGTCGATGTACATTAACAAAACAAAAACTGGCATTACTTAGACATCAGAACGTATCGTTTGTTGTATTAAACAACGTATTATTTAAATAATTTAACTGAATACATTTATTTCTGTGAAACAAAAGTGGGTGCAAATTGATTTTTGATATAAATAAAAATTTGTAATTTTATCTTCAATACAGCAAATTAATATTTTTACTGGATATTTCCAAAATATGAGGTAAAAAATTGAAGGGGTGATTCCAGACGTGTTTTTTGAAGAAAAGTTTTTATCGAAAAATGATTCCTAAAGCAACTACGCCCCTTCAAATGGATAACTCTGAACACGATTTTTCGTCAATATTTTCAAAGCCGTTCAACTTCTGTGCTTGAAATTTGTAAGGTATCAAATATCATTAAAAAGTGATGTTATTATTACCTTTAACCTCTGCAGTGTGGCAGGCTTCTGATTAAAATTTTGAAATTTCGACCTCAGATTCTGATTCAGTGTTTATGTACCAAAAATGTTTATAGGATCTTTTCTTCATAAAAATTCATCAGGAATCAAGCTTTAAATTTTATCGCATGTTTAGGAAACATCCTGCATATAATTAGTTATTTGTTATTTTAAATAAATTAAGTTGCTTTTCTTTTTTTCAGATAATCGTAGCAGCATGCATTTTGGTGGCAGTTTCCGCTCACCATTTGCCCCTGTCTGGTTACCAGCCACCCTTTTACAACCCCTATTATCAAATATTTAGATATGATAATCCATTATACAGCAGCTTTCTCAACTACCACCATCCCTACCAATCATCATATCCCCCACCACCACCTCCCTACGGTCACCATGTCGAACAGAACATTTTCAATGATTATCTTCTTAAGCAATTCTTATCTCAGCCGTACGCTTTTCCGCCTTTCAACATTTTGGAGGAAGTCCCTTTCATCGTCCAGAGCAAATTCAATGTGGTGCCCATGGTAATTGCAGCTGGTGACAGCATGAAAGTCTTTACCAAAGGAAAAATAATAGAAATCTCGAAGGTACAACCAACCATGACCTTAAGAACTGAAGCGAACCAGCTTGTACAGGTCACACCTGCTGTGAAGATAGTTCTTGAGAAACCAATGATTGCCACCACATTAAAGAGCAATATTTTGTTCCCCAGTGTTATTGAAATTAATCACGAAGGGGTAAGAATCCCGATTAAGGTGGGGGCTGTTATCGTACCTGTTCCGAAAGAAACTGTGGTCACGGAGGAGACTCCTGTCATAGTACGTGTTGTATATGCTGTTTCTACAACACCTCTTTCCATTGATTACGTAAATAACAATAAAGACGTGATTTTGGATGGAGATAATCAGGCTGTAGTGGTTGACAGCGATCCCGTTGCTCAGTTGCCACCGAAAAATGTTACTATCCTGGACTTCCCCGAAAAAGAAGCGGAACCAAATTTACAAATAGATGAAGATGACGAATCTTTAGGTACCTAAATATAATTCGTAATTGTGAAATATTGATTTCTCATCTTACTCGAGATATTTTATTGAGTGCTTCACTGGAGACATAAATTAAGTAAATCAGGTATCCAAAATAGGGAAAATATAATTTTACATTTTTGACGTGTTGACAACAATAAGGAATGACTCAATGATGAACTATTGTAAGGAACAAAACAATTTTGCTTTTAGAATAATAATCATAATACCTAAAGACCGATTAAAATTAATTTTGTTAATCCTTCTTTGAAATAGGCATTTTGCTACGTTGTAAGAAGAGAAAAACAAACGTCAAAGTCACTTAAGTAAAATGACATTTTCGTCACCTTGAGCTCCGATTTCAAATAAAATGGGTACCTACATTATGTGAGTTATTCGTTCAAGATTTTTTCACAATATTTTAGACGGGTTAGGAGGTATACAGGTACACATTACAAAAAAAAAGAAGCGCGGTCCCTCTGTGAAGAAGATGTTATGCCCGATTGATCGATTTCAAGGTTAACTCCTGTCAAACAATTGATAAAGCTATAGAATTCATTTACATACATTGTTGATTAATTAGGTTTTTTAAAGACGCCGAATACGTTGACTCAAACACACATTACGATAGTTACCTACTGTTTTTTTCCGTATATGAAAAGATAAAATTTTACTTATGATATACTGAAGCCGGTCGTCAGTAAAAAGTTGATGCCAACACAGACATTGCGTTTTTTAAGCTTAATTTTAAGAGAGTGGTATTTCACATTTAATTAATTCAATTTATATTTACCCTCATCCGCTTATAATATGACCTTACATGAATGACATTTTCTCATTTTCAAACAATTAATTGCATAATTAATATGCACATTTTTTTTAAAAATAATTTATTTGGATGCTCTTGGTATTTTACCTATTCCTTTTTTATTCTAGTAAACAGAAATCCGCCGATTGGTATAGTTCCCGCGGGAATTGTTCAATCAACTCAACCCCACGCAACAGTTCAAGAATTCCACAATTCAAAAGAGTCACCGCTGCTAACACAATTAAGGGAAGAAGCAGCAAAACACAGACTTAAGTCATCCTCGATATATTAGTTCTTTGTGCAATGCAGACAATTTGAACTGATATAACTTTAGGATTTTTAAATATAATTATTTATAGAAATTTATAATTAAGACTTTT